AATTTAATTTTATTTTATTTTAATTTATTGCGATGCTTAGTGGGGATGAAAAAGTCATGAAAAGTATAAATAAATAAAAGAGCACGCAAATGGTAAGGCATCAACACGCGTTGTTTCTAAGCCTACCAGTGGAGACAGTGACATTATAATATAAAATAGAACATACAGAATGGTGAATTCGCTCACGGGAGTAAAATATATATATGAAGGTTTAAAAATAAAAACTGACACACAATTTTTATAAACTAACGTAACCCATTACGTGGTCTCACAAAAATACGGCAACAACTTATTGTTAGAATAAGAAGAAACATGAACTTACCTCAGAAACTTTGAATTGTTCCTTACTTCAGAGAACGAAATGCACTTTCAAGTACAGTGCGCAAACAAAGATTGATAAGATGTCTTCTAATATGAGTTTGTTAGGAAGTGGAGAAATGACAAAAAAATTTTAAAACCGATTTCTTCTCCCCATTTTCTAGAAACTTAGCTGTCCGGTATTACCCTGTTCTTCCCTATTATTTATTAGACTATATTTTACAATATTATCCTTCATTATAAACAGTTAAAAAAATCATAGCCACAACTTTCTCTCTCTCTCTCTCTCTTTCTCTCTCACGATTCACGAGTCATTTGCTCCGAGATTTTTGAAGCAATTCGGCGAAGGTTGGTACGGCACGATACGGCGGATATAAAACAGACTGGCGACAATCAGTCGTTTGAGGCGCGAAACTTGAACTTTTTCTAGAAACGTCATCATTGTCGTTGCCGTCGTCACCGTCATCGTGGAATACGGTCTTCATTATGGCTCGTTTCCCTAAGTTGCGGTATGCGGGTACCAAATCGTGCGCGCCGTAGAAAACGACGGTTATCGTGCGGAAACGGAACTCCGAAAATCTCGGTGCAACAGGGAGGACGGCGTCGTCGAGAGCCGGCGCGGCGGACGGGGTCCGCTGAATTTTTCGTTTGTGCAATTCAGCGGCGTAATCTAATGAGCAAATGCCGCGGACTTGGCGCGTAGACCGGAAATGGAAGTATACATTATAAAACGTGCCGCTGGCGCGCGGCGGCGTTTCCTATGCAGGCCGCGTGCCACCGCCGCTGCCGACGCAATCCGCCGTCGTCGTCGTCGCGAAACCAGGTCGCGCATGCCGCGTGCGACTTTACCCCCCCGAATTCGCGGGCTTTGCACTTGAGAAATTACAGTTTTCTGATTTGCGGCCTGTAGCCGATGAATATTTAGCGATTGGTACGTGACTCCGCCGAATATCCGGGTTGAGCGAAGGTTCGGTTTTCAGGAGAAATCCCTCTTAAGCGAACGTAACCGGAACTCTCGCGACACCGGAAAAAAATATAATTTATCGAGTTTGCGAGGTAGTTCCAGATATCTTTCTCCGCGTTGCCCCGCAACGCATTTCTCTCATAATAATTTTTCGCATAAATCGCGCCCACTCTTTGTACGGAGGTAATAGTAGCGACGTTGGATTAAAAACGCTTACCGGATTTATCATGTGGCGCGCGATATAAATGAAATGTACAGTTATGTTCTGGTATATATAAACGGCGATAATTCTAATTTAAATTACTCGATTCTGTGTAATATTTACAGTGTGTATCCTGAGTGTGATAAGGTAAACGGCCCGATTTGTGGAACGGAACTGGTTGTGGAACACTTTAAAAAAAAACTCTCATAAAATTTATATTTAAAAACAAAAATAAATAAAAAAATTGCGTTATTATGTACAAGTCTTCAAGTGTATAATTATCTAGAACTAAGTACTGTTGCTATAAATATTTAAGTGTAAATAAAATCTTTTAGAGATGTTCGTCTCCACACCCGTGAAAATTGACTCCTATTCAAGGCAAAGCAGCTGATTTGGTACAGCTCGCGATTTGGTATAAACTATTAAATACACATAAATTTGCAAATCTGTATTTAATAGTTTGAAGATTAAGAATCGTAGATTCTAATTTTTATCATTTTTTTATAAGTCCGATCTTTTTTTATTTATTAAATAGATGTTCCTTTTTAGGAACTTATATTTTTTCAATTGCCGTATTATGGAACGCTAAATGAGGGCGTTCCCCAGTTCCGGCCTTTGTATGCTCGCTTGATGGTCCTAGATTTTGGCATAAGTTTTTTATCGTATTATTAAAACAAACACGATTTTCATTGTGCATTATTATTCGAGTATACTTTTTTCGTCATTTCACAGCAAGTAAGTACATTGTAATGCAAAATTTGGTTAGAAAGTAACACGTAAACAAAAAATAACCTCAAAAAGACGTTGAGACGTTCTTACGCAAATGCTTGTTCCATAATCGGGACAAGATGTTCCAAACATTGGGTCAAAAATGCTTGTTCCATAATCGGGACAAGATGTTCCAAACATTGGGTCAAGCTTGTTCCAGAATCGGGACAAGATGTTCCAAACTGGGTCAAGCTTGTTCCAGAATCGGGACAAGATGTTCCAAACTGGGTCAAGCTTGTTCCAGAATCGAGACAAGATGTTCCAAACATTGGGTCAAGCACGCGGATGTTGTGCCAAAATACCTACATATTAGCTGCTTCAGTTTTTATTGATATTTAGCTTATAAATGGTCGATTTGAGATTTCAAAAATTGTTTCGATTTTCGGAAGAGTTGGCTTACAGAATTCGATAAAAATTTTTCACATTAATGTCTTTATTAATTTAAATTTGAATAACATCTGAAACCTCTACTGAATTCGTTCCATAATCGGGCCGTTTACCTTATTGTTTTATTTCTTTCATTTGTTTATAGTAAAAAATATTGTAAAACGTAATTTTAACATTCTTTACATGTCTCAGAAAGTCCACTCTAAATTTTAAGTAAAAATGACTCATTCATCGTGTGTTACTTGTTCACAAATTAGGAATGTTAATTAATTGACACTATACTTTACATTTATATTTGTTCTTTTGACTTTATTTTTCAAGTTATGTTAACACATATGTGATATTAATTATTTTACAGATTTTACTTGAATTATGTGTAATAGAAATATTTAATTTTAGTAAATTTAATTATTTTGTATGTCAAACGATTATTTGAAAATTTATGTTTAACTTTTGTTTATGTGTTAAAAGAACTCGAAATAATATTTAATTTCTAAATGACATATATTAAGTTATCACGTTGACATAAATGTAACACATGAAAATGTTAAGAAAAAAATAACATAGCTGTTGTATATTAATTTTACATTGAAATAATAATTAAATCTTAATAACACAAGAAAATTTTAACACATGGACCACTATGTACACACGATTTTTTACTGTTTAATTACTCCGGTTGCATGGGACACATTCGTGAGAGTGCGTAACTTCTTCGCGATTACAATCGTTGGAAGATAATTTCTCATTACGACCGAATCATACGCATGTATAAGATGCAAGTCTACGCGATAAACTTTGATCGTCAAAGTTGAATAAGGTTTTTAGCTTAAACTAACTAACATCGCTCGCTGCTGAGATCTCCGAGATGACAAACCGTCGTCGCAGATCGACGATCCAGAAGAGTTTCGTTTGTTTACGAGCACTCTAATTAATGTGACGACAGAATTCGTGTTTGACTCGCTCCTTCTTTCTTCTTCTAGCTTTCTCTCTCTCTCTCTTCGATCTCTTTCGCTTAACTTAGCCGGTCAAACTCCGTCGGCGGATAGAATTTACGCGGATAATTAATCTTTTATACAACGGGGATTAATTAACTCGTGCAAATTTATTCGCAGTCAAAGGTTCTGTAAATTCATCGGCCCCTATTACCATGGATATTTGAGAATGGATGATGCACAGTGTGTTCGAAACCCTGTTGTAACGCTATCATCGTCTGAAATTTTATCGAAATTATGTGTAACATCAAGCATACAATAAGCCACAAAAATCCTCCCCTTCTAAAAAAAGCATGTCATCGATACTCGAATCTATCGAAATATTGTTATCGCTTTTCCGCGATGCGGATTCGTTCTCTTGTTGCGCTTACTTCATGAGCGGCTATCATGGCATATTTTGACAGTTGTGGGTTAATATTGTAATAGTAACAGTGAAATATTAAAGTTAAATAGCGCGCGCCTGTAATGTTAAGTTATGTAAAAAACAAACTTTTATAGTAAAAATTCTGTAGTGAAATCTCAAAAATCAGAAAATACAGAGTCAGAATTTTCTATAAATAAACCAATTATTGTTTATTAAGTTTATTTTCTTTATTTATTCTGTTCAACAAATATATCTATTTTTTTCATTACATGTCGTACTATGCGTAAATATATACGATTAAATTAAATAAGTTTCGACTGTAAAGCAGTTTTCTGAATCGATTAAAAATTTTATCATAAATTATTTTTATTCGCTACAATAGTTGTGATTTATGCGCGCTGTAGTTCGATCGCGGCAATAATATAAACGTCAAAGCAAACGTCAAGCGCCTATATCGATTTTATAATTATATTACTTGAATAAAGAGACGAAAATGGAAAATTACGTGAACATTTATTTTGCATAATGGCGATTGGTCGGAAGAACTATTCATTGCGTTTATTAAACGGGAAAATTGTACTCGTAATTAAATCTGAATTAATAGCGCCTCGGATTATCCATTTTATATTATTGCATGTATTGCAACAATTTTCATATTTATCGTCTAAATATAGGTACTCATAGTATAAGGGGTGTTCGTGATCTATATATATAAGAAATTATATATTATTATATATATATATATATATATAACGATTGTTTCTCTCCGTTTTCTATATATTAATTATAGTATACGGTAAAAATCTTAATTCAGATGGCTCTGTTGAAATTCTCAGATGGATATATTCTGTCAGAAATTGTCTCATATATTTCCACGCAATTGTAAAAAAAAGTATTCACGTTATTAAGGAAAATGAATTATAAGTTATAACGTTATGTCCAAAGAGCGCTTGAAACGTTATTTCATACTTTTTAAATTCATAATTTTTCTGTTTTGCGCAGGAGTGGACGGACTATAACCTCCAGTGGAACGAGTCGGAGTACGGCGGAGTGAAGGACCTTCGAATTACGCCGAATAAGCTTTGGAAACCGGATATCCTCATGTACAACAGGTAATCTGGCCTCGTTACATCTGCGTAGAGATTCTCATTTGTATTGACAAACCAGTAGCTTCGACTAACAAATTTGTTAGGAGCATTTCAGTCTTGGGCGCGAGAGGAGGGCCGGCCAGTCCCTTTCATAATAGAATTCTTAATTAAAGTGACAAAAAACCGCGTACTAACTACGCTCGTAGTCGTCGTGTTAATAAAGTGTACCCAGTAAAAATACGCGAGCAAACTGATTTCCCAAAGTACCGCGCGCTGAAACTTGAAAAAGATTTCATTGTTTGAAACGATTTAATTTGCGTGAAGACATTTATAACAGCGTAAAAAAAAAGAGTGCAAAATCTAATTCGTTTCGCATTAGTAATCGGACAGTAACGACAACCAAAACTGTTGAGACGCGAATGAAAATATTCATGTCAAATTCTCACTCGTCCGCGCACTACTATGTAATATACCATGATTTAGCTGCAATTGCCACGCATCGATGAGGATAACCCGTGGGACTTTTGATAGCACGCTCGCGATTCTAGGCTGTCAATATTTCAAGAGTTACCGTCCGCCGCGAAAGCGTCGGAAAGCCAGCAACGCGTGCAAACAGTTTTAACATCGATTCGCAAATCAACATGACAATCGCGAAAATACAAAATCGTAATCGTGAAACAAACTGGGGCGATTTTATTATCGTAGAAATAAAATGCACCAACTACACTTGCCCCGAGTTAAGCGGCCCACGTTGAATTTCTTCGATGGACTTTAAACGGCTGCTACTTGTCCAAAAGGCACACCCCCGCCTCCTCTGTACTCCTAAGAGAGAGAATTAAGATTTTTAAGAATGTCTTTTTCAGAAAAGCTGCGACGGCTAAGAAATAGCGCGGCAGTAGCGCCACTGCAGCAAAAGTTTTTTCATTAACTTTAAGTTCGCTCCCTCGGAGACACTTCGTACGGAGCGTAAATTATTTTCGATGTACCTCGTACTTTTTTCACGTGCCGTTACGGTATTGCGAATGTAGTAAAACGAAAGAAAGAAAGAAAGAAAGAAAAAATCGAAGGGTACGTAACTTTTATCCTAGTGTTGCTTCGCATCTCTCTTATTCGAAAGTATTATATATATATATATATATATATATATATATATATATATATATATTATATATATACATATATACATATTTCTTTTATATACTAAAATTCCCTGAAGTGCATGCATTTACTTGAATCCTAGTAAGAGCCGAGTATATTATACATTTATATACTTGTACTATGTATATCTTTACATTTTTCATTTGTAAATATTGTATCCACGTAATTATTGATCCCGATCGTAGAAATCTTTATCTGACGGACCGACTCGTTTCTCGCTTCGTATCAGTATCTCAATACGATCATTACATTTCATCGCAAATGATGGGCGAAGTCGCGAAGCGGGTCGGGCCGGAACTTTCGAACGCAGTTATTACGCAAATTTTAATTGAAAGGCTAGAGTAACGAGTTGCATAAGTGCCGGTCATTTTCATTTCTCGAAAAATTCTAAAAGTTGGCCACGTCGTGCGTTCTGCGTGGAAAAACAGGGATTCGCGAGGAAAATTATTCGAGGAGCGGACGCGCGACGTTGAAAAGAACATCCGCACTTGAATCGAAACGATCTCTTCTTTTTTTAGAACGATTGACGCCGTGGCCGGCTTGCACTCTCAGCCACTCTCTCTATCATAGCCTCTAGAATAATTAGTCTTAGGTATTTATAGGCTGCTATATAATTATAGTATATAATAATACATACAGTTCCCGGGCCGCCATACGTGAACGCATCTATGCGAATCACGTTCGGCGATCCGCAAAATTAATACGCCCGTCGCCCGCTGCCAGCCGATTCGCGCGATAACAAAGCGGACAATGTTGATCGCGTGATCGGGCAGCTTCGTCGTGCCCGCTTCTCATGCCTCGCACTAATGCAACGCGACTGATGCATAAGTCATATGCGTTTTCGATCGCCTGACGCGGAGCAATCAGACGGAACGGAATGCGATTTATTGCCAAAATCAAGAGAGAAGCATTGATAATCGGGTGAAAAATTGGTTTTCGGCGAATTTTGATATTTTTTTTTATATCGATGGTAACACAACCGCTGCGCACTAACTAATCCTGTCGTGATTGAAAACGGAATACTAGCGAATAAATTCGGGCGGTTTAATTATAAAAGCGACGGATGAAATAACAGCGTTTCGATTTGGAGGTTGAACCAGATTCTCCCTTCCTTCCTTCGCGTACGTTACACGCCCCGATTATTTTCGATTGGGGTTCCGATCGTGGATTATTCGTCGTTTGACCAGGCGTAAATTAGATATTCGTTGCCAACTGTCAACGAGTATCGGGTTCAATCGAATTAACAATCAAACATGATTAGGATCGTGATTCATATCCAAAATGAAATTTCAGCTAGATGATGCAGCTCATAATAAAGCATTTTTTTCGTCTGCAAAGTTTTAGATTAGGATTAATCGAGAACTGCGTTTGATCTGGTGTAATAATCCTTTCCAAATTCATATATTATGTTAGTTGAACTAAAGCGAAATATTTATGTATGTTACATCATCGTCATTGACCATGCGACATGTGTCGTTATGGTTATCGACATCGTCAATCGCTTCTAAATAATAACTAAAAATGGAAAGACGTTTATAGAATGGTTTCTTACGTGCAAATAAATAATAAAATTATATTGTTAAATAAAATAAATAAATAAGTGTTATTACTATATAAGACGGATTATTTAAATAGAGGAAAAATAATTTTTAATGATTGCGCATTTCAAGCAAAAAGCACAAAAAAATAGTCATAATTATTCGAATATAAATAAAATTAATTTTATAAATAGACTACTAATTTGATAATAAAATAGATGCGAAGCAGTAAATCACATGATACATTCAGCCTTGATGTGAAAAGGAAAAAGAGAAAAGCAAAGCGTGCCGTGGAGACAAAGAAAGAGAGATAATATGTAAACTAGTCCCAAAGTGCAGCGGGGAAAAGTGAAAGACAGTAAGTGGAAAGAGGTGGAAGTGGTCAGCCGGACAGGCTGAATCCACCTCCAAACTAACAACTAGCCAAGTTAGCCCGAGGTCGGAGCGAGAGAAATTTCTCGTCGGAAACTGCCGGCGCTCTGGTAAAGTGTGTGGGATCACTTCAATTAATTAAAGTCTCGTCTCGGGGAAACTTTGCCTTTGTGGGTATCGCGGGAGTGTACAATGACTCGGGAATACCGAACGACTTTCCGGTGGCCAAACCGCGCAAACCGGAAATTAATTTTTCAAGAATGCACATTTGGGGCACGCGCTCGGCGAGACCTTCGTTTTCTATCGTAATGATATTTAAACAGAAAAATACGGAATTCGAATTTCTGATTCGTCTATGCGAATGCGAATAGGCTGCTGCGAAGTGTAAGTGTAAGTGGCTCGTTAACGGAAAGTGACACACTAGAGATCGATGAGAACACTATAATGACTCGACGAGTTAAGCTTGGATTTCGACCGGTCTCTCCAGTGATCATTTTCAATTTGCTGCTTGTCCCTCCGCGAATACCGAGATCAATTCGTAACGGGCGTTTATTGTTTCATCGATTCGCCATAACGTGCAGGTATACAGTCATGTCCCGATGCGGACGCATTTATTCGCAATCATTCGTGCCATGTTTTATGTGAGTATGTGCATTTACAGGTTATTTCAAGGGAGATGTATTTAACACGTATTGCTATATTCTCAGAAAATGAAAAAAATGCGCACACACAATTAGAAAATAATGAATATTATGCAATATCGATTGCAATACAATCATGTATAAGCAGCTTGCACAATAATCCTCGGTTGGTACGATATAATTTTAAAATTTTGTTATACACTTTCTATCGCGCAGAATGTGCGCATGCAAAATGTTGACCGTAGGATTTTCATCACGGCGAACCGCAAATATTTTCTCACCCTTATATTCGAGGTGACCAAGACACATAAATCGTCGCCAGAAATTACACCGTCGATTCTCCGATAAATATGTCGTGGACCGTTAAATCATTTAACTTATGTGCTCCCATTATCGACTGGAAAAAAATTTATAGAGGCGTCGGCGTAGGGAACGGTTTATCGAGGCAGCTGCGCGAAATCTACCTGACGTCGCCCGATAGCACATTCCCGCATATTCCTAAAACAATCGCGCAACCTCGTACAATCGACGAAATAACCCACCGGTTCGTGACGACGCTTGATTTACGCGTTCCACCACCGCGCATCGACTTTACGTGTGCCCGTTTGAAGCTCACGCTCGCTGTCGCGTCTACCGAATCGGAACGACCGTCACGTTCTCCATTGTTAAGCGCGAAATGTACACACTCCGATCTCGCTGTTCTTAATCCTATGGACGACCCAGTTTCTGAACATAAATAGACAACGTTGCGTTTTTTCTTCTTTTCTTGTAAAAATTGCGTTGTATGAAAATACCGTTGGTGTGTTTACTTGTTTTACGTAATTAAAGTTTACACAGAATTTTAATTATAAAACAAGACATTTATATCTTACTTGATAAAACAATTTTAAGAGAATATTTTCTTATGAAAAGAGAGTATTTTCAATAGACACTTTGTGTTAGACACTTTCACCGTTGTTTGTCACTCGGATAAGCGTTAACCGTTACTTCAAAAATTCTAACTCCAGTTTTGCTTCACTGAAATGAGGGATGAAAGTTCTTTGCCATCACAGTTTACGTGAACAAGGAGCAGGTTATCTTACAGCGTTGTACGCACGTTCATACGCGAAACGAGTCCTGTGGGCGTTGGAATTTTGAAGATGTCGGTTTCGACCCTGTTAGCGAAGCTACAGTGTAAATAAGATAACGACGAAGGGTCCACTGCGCGCTTCCATTTCGTAGCCAGCTCCGGGGAACGGTTATGCCCCGGTCCCTTCGAGGGAAAAAGCTTCCTGCGGAAGCGTAAAGCGAATCTCGAGTATCCCGCCCGAAGGTA